AGGTGTTCCTATGAAAACACTACCTGCTCTTCAACACCGTGCCTCACAGGATGCAAAGGGACAGAGTCAGCAGGCACACAGGAGCTACAGTGAATCAGAGATGCTGCTGTATGTGACAAGGGGCACAAGGACACATACTATGACCTTAACTTTATCAAAAGGTACAGCATTCTTTCACACAAGGAAATCAGAAGCATGTGGACATACATCTGTGCACACAAGTAGCATGAATCTGCCAAAATGTGATGATGACATAAAAGACTTAAATGATAAACTTTGCACTAGGATTGTCAAAAGCCTTCATCCTAAAATCTAAAATTTACTCTAAAAAGTCATGGCCATGCAACAAGACCTTGAAGTAAGAATATTCAGCATAAACTCCTGAAAGTAGTACAGGTATAAAATAATCTGACATGTATATGATATAAGACATAATATAAATAATATGCATGTATAAAATATTCACTATATTGAGTATTGTAAGTCAGTGTGTCTTGGAGTCCCACTGGTGTTACAAGTGTATTACAGGACAGTGATTTCAAGTAAGGCATTTTGAAATAGCAAACTGTCCCCGCGCTTATAAGGGAATTCACTTTGGATTTAATAATTTGTAAGTATTGTAGGAAGATTCAATCTTGACATGGATTGTAAACAAAATTTCAATACATGATATATTTGCAGGACATGGAAGCTGTGCCTGAAAGGTGGAATAAAATCTGCAGTCTTGCTAAAATACAAATCGAGTGGAAAACAAGCATTTAGGTCTGCCATGTGACTCCACACGCTGGGCTTGCCTAGGTCCCAGCTTCCCACACTGTGTCGTTAATGAATCTGGAAATGGGGGGCTCACAAAAAGTCTAGTAATTGTAAAATTTTCTGAACACCCAATAACTCTGCTCAGCCCCTCCCCCTCACAATATCAAAGTCAAATTCACAGTGGAGCACAGGTATTTCTGTCAACACTTGCCCAAGTGACATCTCACAATATCGTTGCCACCCACCATGCTGCTGAACATACAACAGGCGTGCTTAGTACTCCACATGTCTTCTACTCTAGACAACAAGAGATTTCAAATGCCTCCTGGTGAATTCAATACTGTTGTATGAATATACAGTGTTTTTACTGTCCATACAATTTTTAACTATCATAAAAACATAACGGTTTAATTATAAAAAGTCTTAATATTTTCCTACTATCTGTCTTAGACATGAAAATATTAAAGCAGTGTGGCTTTGCGTTATAAAGTATTATAATGTTTGATTTTAAAAATAACTGAATTACAGACTAAAATTTCATTAAAATGGTAAGGGAATTTTGAGTTGGGAAAAGTTTCCAATTATTTCTAAAGTGGACCTAAACATTCTTTTCCATTCCACACTATGCATTTGTGCAAAGTGGTGCTATGCGTAGTGAAGTTGAAGGTGTCAGACAATGATCAATTCTGGAAAAACCCTGAAGATGCCCCATGCAGTAGTCTCATCCAAGCATAGTATTTACATATGTAACAATAAATAAGCACACCCATCATTAGCATGTAAAGTGCTTTTCTTAATGTAGAATCATGTGTATTACAAAAATTCTTTAAATTATCTTTTAATATTAATTATCAGTGAAATTTGATCTGCATTCCAATTTTATATACACATAGATCCTGCATTCAGTACTATTTCCTTGGTTACTAGTAGAAAAAGCTTAAGAGGCCTTGTTCTTGACTGTCCTGGCCATTGTGACCCATTTCAATATACTTAAGAAAGCTAACTCTGTGTGTGTGTGTGTGGGGGTGGTTAGTGTATAAAAATACATTGGTAAGTAAAAGAATAAAATCCAATGTGAAGCTCCACCACTCCTGTTACAAATGGTTACTCTAATTATATAGAAGTTCACTGAGTTGTACTTTTGGGTCTGGTTAATTGTGGTATGTGGATTTTTTTGTTACTTGAAATATTTTATCATGAAGTCTAAAATAAATTAAATAATATTAAAATCTATATTCATCATACCAAATAGCATGGGGGAAAACAACTGGGAACATATTTAATATGTAAGTTATTCTGAAGACCATTAGCATTATTAATAAACTGGCTTCCCCCCATTCATGAAAATGGTTCTATGTATCATGACTCACTTATATCTTATTTTTTTAAAAATGTTTTATCAGTTGAGAATGAAATTGTGTGGTGGAAAGTTTACCTAATATACCCAAAGGCCTTGGCCTGAGGCTTGGGAATATAAGAAAAATGTTTTGTGGCACTTACAGCAAATGTCTTAGATTTTTTTTTTTAAACAATGTCTGGATATTTGGGAGCCTAGGTGCTATTGTAAATGGCATCATCTTTTCAAGAAAGACACATTTATTTAATGTGTTTATATGTATATATGTGTGCATGTGCATGTGTGTATGTAGATGTCTGAGTATATGTGTGCACAGAAACGAGACAAATAAGTGTACATGTGTGTATGTGCATGTTTGTATGTCTGAGTACATGTGTGCACAGAAACGAGACAAATATGTGTACATGTGTGTATGTGCATGTGTGTATGTAGATGTCTGAGTATATGTGTGCACAGGAACGAGACAAATATGTACAGGGCCTGAGTGTGAGAACAGGTGCCAGCCATGAGAGTTAGGACATTTGTGACCTGTAGACATTCCCTCCACTCCACAGTGTACCTGCCATTTGCCCCACTAGGTTGCAGTTTTTTTTCTTCTTCTTCTCAAATCTTCCCCATGTAGGGGCTTGAAATACCTTTTATTTATATTTATTAGAGGTTCAATCTCAAGACAAATGCCCCTATCCATTTCTTTCTTTAAAGAATATATACTGAGTAGTCACTGTGCTCCAGGCACAACCAGATGTCTAGGAGAGTACGCATAGCCTGATGTGGCTTGGCACAAGCTGAGTGTCCAATATCTGGACTATAGGGTCGACAGCCTCACTGTGTGTATAAGCTATGTCCACAAGGACCATATAAGGTGGGCTCATTAATAGTAACTCACGAGTCAAGGTGCAGCTGCCCTAAGAGCTGAAGAGTTTCTGACCATAGCCACACAGTGTGAGGAGTCTGAATCGTGACAGCCTGAGCTTCCTTACTTCCTCACTACCCACTGCTGTGAGGAGGTCCACAGTACAGACTTGGCTACCCAAGCAATGGCTAGAGACAGCTTCCCCACAGTAAGCTCCTTTGTTGTGCCATGATTTCTCTTAAGCTGTAGTGAATAAACATTATAGATCTGAACTATGTTCGTTATGAATGAGTACCACTTCTATCGATCTATATGGAGCTTTGTATATCATCTTATTGAAACCTCTCTACCACTTAAAGTAACCTGAGCACCACAGTTCTGGAGGAGGATTGCTGGTATAGAAAAGTAGTAACAAAGTGTGTAAGATGGGAATGAAAATGTATACTCAAACAAATTATGCACAGGGTATAAACTAAAGCTTTTAATTCAAAAGCAAGGTGTAATAAGGAATATTTTTATCATATTCCATGTTTCTCCTTTACAGATAACACAACTATGGTATAAGCTCTGCAATAAGTAAAAAGACTTAAAAATGTTTTTAACAGAATCCATATTCATCAGGAAATTAGAATTTTCTAGGGCTACCTCTAAGTGGATTACCGTTTCCCCAAACTTCCAAGAAACACCACTCCAGAGTTATGTGTAGACAGAGCCCATAAAATGTTGAATGACTAAATAATTAATGAATGAAATATATCTGTAATATCTTTGTCTATTCAATGACCTTTCACATAAAAATTAATGCAATAACATGGATGATAATAGAGATTGTGGCAATATATTTGCCACATGAACAGGTTACCTTCACAGTCATACAAAAATCTGCTTTTGAAGAAATCACCATGTTCAACACACATATTCTAATACTCAACAGAAGGGACCTGATGTTTCTCTGTCATGGTATAGGTGGCATGTGGCAGTCAGAGAGGAAAGCTTTTGCCCCAGGGTGAACCCCTTTGCTAACACCGGTACCACTCAGCTGACTATAGTCCATCATATCGCGAATTGCAGAAGAGTTCAAGTTCATGTTCCTGCTGTCTCTCGGGCAGCCTGACCTGGCAACAAGCTCTATTTCCCATTCTGTTGTCACCATGCCTCTCTCAGTGCCCACAGACCCCAGGGAGCAGACCGAGCAGCCATGACCTCTAACATGCTTTCAGCACTGAAATGCAGCTGGCACCTCCTCTTGGAATATGCACCACACAAATTGATAGTGCAACATCTCTTACTGCACAGCTGAGATTAGGGCCGAGCTCTGGGCCCAGAGACATCCTTTTCTGCACTCTCCTAAGACGTCTTTGTTTACCTCTTCAATCAATGTTGTAACTGTTTCTCAAGACTCAATCACTAGTGGTGCAATTACACCATAAAGGCAGAAAACACTTCTTACACCTTCTTCACTGGCACACAAATGCTATTGCTCAAAGTCAAGGTCTTACCACACACTTGCTGAAGAGTGGATTGCTTGCAATAGACACTAAGTGTGAACAATGAAATAAATGCTAAAGCCTTGGGAAGAGGATTATAAAACCTAATAATCGGGACTGTCAAAACAGAAATATACATACATACATACATACATACATACATACATACATTCATGATTATACCATGTGGAAGCACACTATCATCACTGTGCCCACACACAGGATATGTAACCCCCTATGTAAATAAGACCTGTGCTATAGCATCAGTGTAGTTGGGCAACTGCAATGAAATGTCTAGAGGCGAATGAAGGAGGCTCTTCAGTGGAAGGAAATGGCTATATTAAGGAAATGCATCATGTGCTTTTCTCAGTTCTACAGTGAAGCTAAGACTGTTCTGGAAAATGTCTGTGTCTTAAAACTTGATTGAGAACAGGAATTGCATACTTTGCCTAACATGCACCGCCCACTAAAGCATACTAAAGCAGATCAGAAGAGCTGAGTTCTGCCAGATTCCAACGGACTATGGCGGCGCATCTGACCTTATTACCTGTAGTCACACCAAGGGCACCTGTAGGGCTTCTCTCCAGTATGCACACGCTTATGACGAGTCAAGTGTGACTGGGTTGTAGAGGCGAAGTTACACTCATCACATTTGAAAGGCTTCTCCCCTGTAACAAGAAATGAATACATGAAGAGTAATTGATATGGCATATCCAAGCTTAGGACTAACATAGAAACAGTATGTACGTATAAAATATTACAAATATTATTCAGTGGATTCCAGAAATGTAGGACATTTGAAAGCAAGAAGATATTACTTTTTTTTTAATTGGCTATTAGGAAGGTATATTAATATATTGCACAAACAAGACTCTAGGTTATAAGTATAGGCCAGGATTCTGGAACAATTTTATAAACCATGCTACATGAGAGCCATTCCAAAAATCTCAGTTAGGTTAAAACATGGCCAATCATATAACAGTTGAATATGAGATCTAAAAATAAATTCCTAGCATTAATTATGAAAAAAAAAATGAAGTGAAGTCATTGCTTGAATACGTGCTACAAGTAAAAGGAATTATAACTGCGGGGTAGAAAGTATGAAGTCTCAAAAGAACAAATGATGTAATGTTAATTCCATGCTAAGATGTACCAATCCTGTATAGACAGGGCCAAAGTGGACAAAGGTGGAGCCTCAGTGCTGACCTGTGACAACGCCTGGAGCTCATCCAACTGGTGCCCCCCCTTTACCTACTCCTCCACACTCACTCACTCAATTTCCCATTTCACTGGCTACATTGGTTGGTGAGCAACTGACCCAAGGCTACTTAATTTCAATTAATATAAACTCAAATTTGAAGCCTAATACAATACAGCCATTGGGAAAATGGCTTAGTATGGTTGGAATAGCTTAGAAATGTGAAACTATGTTTTTAAGCAAAACTTTTATCAAAACTCAATATAGATTATATACTTTGAATGCAACAATGCTCTAAACTGAAATGTGCTAGCAGCATGAAATGCATGCTAAATATCAAAGTCTTAGCACAAAGAATAAATAATGCTAGTAATGCCATTACTTTACTTACAAATGATAATCTTGATATTGTTGAATAAGTTAATAATTACAAAAATCATTTTATCTCTGACCTTCCCCTATTTTGCGGCAGCCAGGAAACACATGCATCCTATTCCGTTTCTCCTGACAGTGGTGAAGAAGTGAACACCTCACCCCTGAAGTACTCATTCAGGTAATGTTTGCAATAGATTCTTTACTGAGCAATTTTACATCTACAACACATTAATGATAGGTTTCAACAAGCCCACTTGGTACTTTTCATTTTCTAGGTTTTCATAACAGTACTCTACATACACTGATTTATTTAAAACTGATGGAAACTATCTTCGTGTGTGTGTGTGTGTGTGTGTGTGTGTGTGTGTGTGTGTGTGTGTGTGCGTGCGTGCACTTATGTGTGCAAGTGCTTTTCCACAGCACAATGTAGTGCTCAAAGGATATCTTCTCAGGATCAACTCTGTCTGTCCAGCACCTAGACTTACTGAACCAGTCTGAGTCTGAGTCAGTCTGAGTAATAACTGAAGGGTTCTAGCAAGCCTTGCTCTTCTCCCCTCTTCCGTCTGCCTTGCTAAGATTCCTTAGGTTACAAGGGAGTGCTAGGATAAGCGCCAAAGCTACACACCTTGAAAAACAAAAAACAAACAAAAAAGTTAACCCCGAAAGTCCATTCCCTTATTTGGCTACTTCCTCCTCCTGATGCTGACTATCAAAGTCTGGCTACCCAAGTACTGAAGTCCAGCAATCAAAGCCCAATTAGAATTAAACACCTCATCCTAACATGGAGTTTCTTTTATCTTTACAGACTGTCATTTTCCTATGGGCTTCGTCTGTCTTCTCCATCTAGAGGCAGTCCTTTCTTCTACATGACAAGTACACTTACCCCCTTTCCCTGGCTCCCTTCCCTTCTCCCCTTTCCTCTGTCTCTTGTGTCTTGTCTTTGTCCTTTATCTCTGTCCTCTGTATCCTTTGTGCTGAGAACTTGGTCCTGGGGGTCCTGAACCTATACTTAGCCTTGCAATAATAATTGAAAGTATTATTAAACTACTAAAGATACTTACTGAAATATGTTTGCCCCAAACTACCCTGGGCCAATATGACCATTAGTAAAGATATCTGTTCTACATTATCTCAGTCTTCTTACATGGCCTCACACATTGCTGTACAAATATTTAACTTATACACACACATCCTGCTTGATGGTATTTATCTCCCTTGAAGAAGAGAGGCGTGGCTGGGTGAAGCCAGATAGACTGAAATCCTGGTTTTGTTCCATCTCACTTGCTAACTGTCAGACCATTTGAGAAAGACAATGGGGATAATGCCAGCAAGATGACAGAAAAACAGAGAAAGAGCATCCTGAGCAGAGTCCCGAGTGACCACTGCCGAAACACAGCACCACAGCCTTCTCCAGAGACAGGAGCAGCACACAGGTATCTCTTAATAGAAGTTTGGTCAGTAGGTATTAAACAGTATACAGCACTAACTGGTGATTTACACACTTAATGAGGAGGGACACAAAGCTACTATGTTGTAGATCTTATCTAGAAATCACTGTATTTGATTTATCCCAGTTTAAAAAAAAATCAAAGAGCATCTACGAAGCAGAATAAGGGAGTAGTTTAAAAAGGCTTTCTTCTCTTTAATATTAATCCCATTTTAACACCCCAGTGAAGTAGTCACCCAAGTTCTAAAGTCACTCTTTAGTACCCTTTCCCAAACCTTTGGTCAAACAACTTAAGTCACAGTAGATAACGCAATTTCAATAACTGACATAACATACATAGACATATACACATGGACACACACGAAAAACACTCAAAGCAATAACTTATGCTCATCATAGTGGCAGGATTTGATTCAATCAAAGGAATGATATAGAATATTCATATTTTAGTCTAATGGAAACTAATACTATGTGTTCAAATTTAACTGAAGAATATTCTACTCCTGGAAATAGATATACAACTACACACGAGTATAAAAGTAAATATTGTGCTTATTTTCAGAGGAGATTTTGTACACTAAAAACAGCACTTTTAATTGAGCATCAATGCCAATGTACAATTTATATGAAACGAATAAAAGCAACAAACAAGTGTTGATTATTTATCTAATTTGATATCATCTGTGTAGATAACAGTATTTTAAAAGGGTATCATTGACAATTTATAATACATAAACATAGGTTTCTTTTCTATTGGTGAAACCAACACCAAAATCAAGATAATGAACACTATTTACCCATAAAGGATTCCTTGACCTGCCATTCACCAGATCACTACAAGTCCAAACCTTTCCTGTTTTCTCCTATTCCATGGTAATTGTTATCTTCTAGGAATTTATATAAAAAGAACATGTATATATAGTTCATTTAGTGTGGCATGGCTTTTACTACATAATTATTTTTTTGATTTAGCTATATTGCTAGGATATTAATTATTTTTCCCTGGGGGACTATATTGATTATACCATGGTTTGCTTGTGCTGCTAACTCAGTGGTTCTCAACCCGTGGGTCGCAACCCCCAGCGGATCACATATCAGATAGCCTATATATCAGAGATTTATATTACAATTCATAAAAGTAGGAAAATTATAGTTATGAAGTAGTAACAAAATAATTTTATGACTGGAGGTCAACACGACATGAGGAACTGTATTAGAAAGTGGCAGCATTAAGAAGGCTGAGCACCACTGATCTGACTGAAGGACATCTGAGTGGTTTCCCTGCTTTTCTTTTTTTTTGCTACCACAACAATTGAATTTGGAATAAACTATCAGTGATAGGGATGCCACCGTATAGACATGTTTTCTTTTGTCTTGAGAAATTTACAGTTAAAGAATCTGACTTTCTTACAAAAGTTGTTGTTGGCTGACTCCTCAGTAGTGTTTTGGGAGTTCTCTTATGCTCTAGATAGAAATCCTTGACCTTGACAATATTTATGATCCTAACATATTCTCATCTGGTCTGTGATTCATTTCCTTCTCAGTGCCATTAGTGATTATTTTTATATAAAATTTCAAATTATTAATTTATAATTTTCATTTGTTATTTATATAGCATGCTATTACCATAATAATAAGATGATTTCTGATGATCCAAAGTCACAAAAATTGTTTTTTGTAGAGTTTATATACAATTAGATTGTATAATTGAGTTAATTTTGTATACTGTCTAAAGAATGTCTTTAAGCTCATTTTACTGAATAAAAGAACCCAATTAATCCAATATTACATGCTGAATGGTTTAAACTACCTTGATTTCCCTATAAAAATCAACTGAGAACATAGGTATATATTTTTTGATTTTGTTACACTGGCAAATCTCTCTTCTTTGATGCTAATATCTGGTAGTTCTCACTATTGTTGCTTTAGCCTTGAAGCTAGGAACTCTGTTCCTTTTCAACCTTGTTTCATTATTTCAGACATTTGCATTTTTACAAGAATCCTGAGTTAGTGTTTCTGATTTAGAAAAGAAGGCATTTGTGGGGTTCAATGTGGCAAGAACCTAAGTCTTAGCAATGGTACCTATGGCATTTCACTCACTTAGGTCATATTTAATTATAATAATCTGTAATTCTAGTCTTCCATTGGGATGATTTTTTAATATCTTCTTGAGACTTCTGAGTATGATGTCATGTTTAAAATAACTGGCATGTAGCCTATGCAGAATGTACTTATTTTTTGGGTTTGTGCAATATGTCAATCATATAATATGATCCATGGCAGAAGCATAACAAGCTATTGTTTTCCACATAACAAACATAAACAATGAAAACATCTAATTTTGGTCATTGAGATTTTTTGTAAAGATTTATTTATTATGTATATAGTGTTCTGCCTGCATGTCAGAAGAGGGCACTAGATCTCATTACAGATGGTTGTGAGCCACTATGTGGTTACTGGGAATTGAACTGAGGACCTCAGGAAAAGAAGTCAATGCTCCTAACCTCTGAGCCATCTCTCCAGCCTAGTCACTGAGATATTTACAGCTGTATGCCAGTTACGTCCTCACACAGTTAGTCTACGCACTTGTAGACTGCTTTCACACATGGCCGTTTTTTCACTGTGGTGGCCTTGGAAGACATCTTCAGGTTACCCACTTTGCATGGGTGTGGCAGGCACACAGAAGTAGTAACAGGTGGTACCACAGACCCTACTAGGTTAGTGTACACATTAAAGATCTAAGAATTCTAAGTTAATTTTCTTGGTTTGGAAGCTTAACATGGCTTTAAAAATGTGATTACTATAGGATCTTTCAATTAAGCCTTTCATGAAATTTCTGTTGATACTTTAAATTAAAATCTATACATTTATAAAATGCCATTTCCAATAATTTAATTAGAAGTTTACAATCAGCTACCAGTCTATTATGGTAAACTGGAGGTTGTACTTTCATATTTGCCTCGACTGTACCAGATTAAATTTGGTACTATTAAGATGTTTAGAATTATGTACAAGCTGGTAGGCAAATATTTGATGTAGCAACGTTTTGTGTAAAATATTATGCATACAAATACTAAGGAGAAGAGTCAATCCAGATACATCTGAGGTACTGATAGGGTACATGCCAACTTATATATAACCTACAGTACACTCAAATATGTGCGGTGATGCTAATTATGGTTATTCTAATATATAATTTCTAAAATTTTTTAAGAATGATGATAATTGTGGTGGTATACACCTTTAATCCCAGCACCAGGGAAGCAGAGGCAGATGGATCTCTGTGAGCTCGAGGCCAGCATGGTCTACAACATGAGTTCAGGACAGCCAGGGCTACATAGAGAAACCTGGTCTGAAATAATCATACATACTCATACATACACACATACACGTATGCATGCACACACACAGAGAAAAAGGAAATGAATAATTTCTTTAGGAAAAATATAATACAGAGAAACACACGTTCATGTTTATCATTATTACTACATAGCAAAAGGTTCATCCAAACCCCCAAACTGGGAAATCTTAAAAGTTTGAAACAAGAATTTCAATTTATTAAATATTGATAATTATTTGAAACTACAAAGCATTCTAAAACTGATGTGTATGGCTGCTGTCATACAGTTTTTCCTAAATTTTAAAAACTAAAATATAATTATTTACATAATTTCTCCCTTCTGTCCTCCTACCAACCTCTCTCGTGACCTCACCAAGCCTTTCAAATGCATGGTCTGTTTTTCAACAAACACAACCTGCCAGTTCCAAGTTTCTTGTATGTGCAAAACTCCAAGGCTGACTACTTGGTAGTAAATACTCAACTGGGAAGCTCACCCAGGCGGAGAACGATTTTCCATCTTTTAATAGTGCCTAGTTGCTTTAGTTCTTTGTGTAGGGGTGGGGCTTTGTGAGAGTTCCCCCTTTCCTGAAGAGGTCTCATTAAGAGTACCGATGGGAATACTACTTCTGACTTGTCTATCACTCTGAAGCCACAGATAACCTGAGTTAAAACAGTAATTATTCAATGACATTGTATATAAGTGAACAGGGACTTTGGGCACACATCAGTTTAAACACCAGACCATAGTGCAGTCCCAGCTACTTGGGTGAAAGAGTCAAAAGGTATCACTAGAGCCCACCAACTCAAGACCAGTCTATGCACTAGCATTGAAAACCAAAGAACAGAGCAAGGGGAATTCCTGTTGCTCTTGTAACCACACTAACCACCTTTCCTGTGTGTGAAAGAACCTACTCTATTGGGCTGCTGGTCTCATTTCACAAACACTTTTCTTTACAAGCATTAATCTTGGCCAAAACACCCTATAAGAAACCCCTCCCCTTTTAGGCTTTGCTGATAGGAAACGAGGATAAACACAGACACCAGGACAGCTTGTTGCCATAGTGCCTGTGTTTGTGTGTGTCAACCATCTGTCAGACTGGCCAAGCACATCTCCTGGAAATCACACTTCCCATTCCTTAGGGTGGACTGGTGGTTATTAAGCTGGCCAGGACTCTCCAACTGCACGTGAGGATTGGAGCCTGTGCCCTTGAATCAAGGGTCTCTGACAGGTGAAAAAGTAAATCTCAGAATGGAAGATGTTTCTTGTCAGCACCCTAGACAGCCTGCATTTCAGTCAGGAATTATTTACGCCATGCGGACCACTTTGGATACCTATCCCTTTCTGAACCACTTGTAATTTGCCTGGACACTGTGGTAAACAGGTAAACCATGTCAAAGACAGACACATGAAAGAAATATAGATTTCAAATGTACCATCAAGTCTAGCCTTGGGGGAAAAGGTGTGCGTTGCTTAAACATTTCAAGTCCAACATAAAAGCTAAGTGCCTAGACTGAGCTGGACTGAGCTGTTTGTGGAGGCCAAGTCTTTTAAGAACTGACTTTGGTATTAAAGAATCATGTTTGATTTGTGCCACAGAGGCAGATAAATGCCAGAAAGACAGATACCTCTGTCTCTGAGACATTGTCCTATATGGTATAAAGTTAATAGCAAAGTAATAAGGAGCCTCTGGACCTGACATAAAATATAAAGTTGTGCCGGCTCGATGCAGGCTTCCTGATCGATCCATCACCTGGAACGTCTGTGAGCGCAGTATTCCTGCCTCCACTGCAGGACAAGGGGGAACACTACCACTGGAGGGGTGGCACAAGGGGGTCTGCTATCCCCTGGAGCCAAATGGGAAGGGACAGGAAAGCAAAAATACCATGTAAATCTTAAAACTTTGAGCTATCAATAAGCTGAAAATATGGATAAAACACCCTATGACTTGCATGGTTTCTGCACATATATTCAGCTCTCTCTTCATTTGCCAACAAAACAATCACCTACACAGCCGACCTGATAATGAATCCTTACATAGGGATTATAAATTAATGTACACGTGGTTTATGTTTTCTGAAGTTATGCTTTCAACATGTTAGCAATCAAAAATTTACCTTCATGTTAACAGTTCTTATCCCTATGGGAATTTCATACCAATAAACTGAAGATCTAAAAGCGATGAATAGGATTCCTCTTCATTGATCCTGGGAGTACGACTTTGAGGAGTGAAGCTGCCTGTGTCTATATAACATGGCATTTCAAGAATTCAATTGCTCTGTAAGTAATTTCATTCAGGTAATACATGAACTAGGACCATATATACTGTACACTGTTCTTGATGCCCGTGAGAGTTACTTGTGTGTGCATGGTGTGAGCATATCCATTGCAGCCTGGCTAGAATCCTACCAGGAGCCACACCCTCACAATGCTTCTCTCCTTATTAATGGGTGGACCTCTGGACTTCACAACGTATGGACTGTGACCATCAAACTCAAGTGTCCTCATGGTCCACAAAAGAAAGTATCACTTCTAGTGACCAGTTTAGTTACCATCCAAATTTCATTAGTAAAGTCTTGATAGCAGAAACATTTGGTTCTACTGATACTACAAAAGAAAGCTGCCCTGAGACAGTACTACCCTAGACACACATGACTTAGAATTGTCAGAATGACTATCTGTGAGACCACTTTCTTTTCCTGAATCATGGAGAATGAATATCCTGGGGCAGGCTATCCTCCATGTCCATATTTATCTCTCATATTGCGGCTTTATTGTTATTCGTTCTTAACAGCGAGAAAAACTGTAAGAGCACAGACTCCCCATCACATGGACTCAAAGACAGATTGATAAATACAGAAAGCAGGTAGAGAAACAGATGTGGTATAAGAAAGGAGCTAATGGATAGGGCAATATACCACAGGGAGAGAAGAGGGGGGACCAAGATGGGCTCCCCAGGACACAGGCAGGAGGCTAGGACAGAGCTTTGCAGACAGACATCAAACAGCCTCAAATATCAGGTCTTGGGTCACTTGATTTTTACCCACTTAAAATGAAGTTCAGGAGGATATCTGGAACCTTAAATATATAGATGACTTAACAAGAAACTAACTTCTATACACTCTGTACTTGTGAGGTATGTGAGGTCTATAGAAATTTTCATTTGCACAATCCTAGAATAAAGAGGAGAGCAAACCATGAGGCCAACAGTGCTTAGGTATCTAACAACTTGCCTCATGTCTGCAGAGAGAAGTCAGGAGCAGACTCAATACTGACCTGTGTGCTGCCGGCGGTGTTTGGTGAGGGCGTGCCGAGTCCCACCAGCGAAGCCACAGAGGTCACAGAGAAATGACTTCTCGCCTGTTGCAACAATAAACAGATGAGGGACTGCAGAGGTCACAGATCATTAAAACATATCTATCAAGGCTTTCAGGGTTACTAATTCCTCCAATCAAATGTTTCCATGTAAATATGTCAAATGGGAATGAAATTACCACTGCGGTTTATTGACTGTGATAAAATCTGAAAAGCACCACTGAACATAATTACATACTTGTCAGACCCATAAAAATTAGCTTTATTATCAATGGAATGGTTTTGTACAACTTCATTTCTGGTAGATGTCTTCCAGATGGGGCTGCTTTATGCACTTGAACAGTTTTTATGCATATCCTGATTTTTTACAATTCCCATACATCTGGCCTTTCTGAGCTGAGTAAAGATTGCTTTGGAGTAGTTAATATACGGTATATATAACTCCGCTTAAATAAAATATATTGAATTCTTTAACAATCTAAGAACACTGAATTGGTTTTACCAGATTCTATCAGGATCTTCTTTAATCACCTTACACTTAATAATTTGAATTAAATGGTTTCTCTGAACAGACTGAGGATCCAAAGGAAATGAAACTCACATTATATAGTAACAGGAGATACTCAAGGCTGTTTGTGTTTAGCAGATGTTATGGCACAAAAAAGAAGTCCAGGGATTGCTAAAAAACATCTGTAAAAATTCGTATCTCTCATCCTCAGTGATAGTGCTGGATTGGACACTTCTGTAGAATCAAAGGCATGTTTGGCAGACGAAGGAAGTGTGCGAATGCTTATTTTCTTAGCATTTTATACATGTGACTTCTTGACCTTTAAGCAGTATGTATCATTTTATGTAGTATAGTTAGCCAGAAAGTACTGGGTAGCTAGACAATTCCTCCCATAAGACATGAAATGAAGGGGAAAACATGTTAAAAATGGAGACTTTGGAGAAGTTAATGAAATTAAAAAAAGACTTTTCCAGAAATAGAGCAAATTATTTGTATCCATCATTACTGAATTTAGTCACGTAGACTTTAAAGTGACATGTTCCCCATAAAAGGCCTCCTTTATCCCATGTTTGGGGTTTCACAACAAATTTAGTTGGCAATGCATTTGCAAACAGTAACTGTATTTCTAAGTTTAAAATGACAAAAACAAAGGAAAATAACTGTAGCAATCAAAAGAGCAGCCCTTTGGTTAATACTGTTTCCAGTTTTTCTAACTTAAAGGAAAACATGAATAAGTACTTAGCCAAAATATGTCTAATCTTATTTCCAAAGGATTGTTCAGATGGTCATTACCATTAAAAAGACAAAGTTAAAATAAAATGTTCTGGCTATCCTTGTTATCCTACATTGGGATCACACTTAATTTCTTGATGTCATTATTTCCATATAGGAAAAATAGAGTAGATGGGCTGTGAAGAATAAAGTTTAATTATAATCACTCATCTAATTATTTAATCAATTTAAAGTATAAATCTTTTTAACTAGCTGTATTATCAATTAAATAACACTGAAATAGCCTTTTTTAAAATAAGAAAACAATTTGTTTTTAAACATTAGCATTTTTTAAAATGTGGAGGCAAAACTCTTCTTGGCAATTTACTCATCACCAGTTTTGCAGACATTTTTGTGCGTGCTGGCAGAAAAACTGCTGTTCTTACACATGCACAGGGCATAGGACTACAGTGCAGAAAGGTGTTTGTGCCCTGTGTACACATGTACATGCATGCCATGAAGAGAATAGACAACATGGCCAACAAAGAGTGAACATCCTCATTCTAGACAAGCATGCTGCCATGCTTCCATTTAGGAAATCTTTGTGACCTATTTCTTTTTTGCAAAATGAATGTGTTAATAAGAACAGGAAAAAATAACAGAATTTAACAATCTCTACATGTGTTCACGCTGCACAGATTAAGGTCTACTCTCTTTCCCATTTTATGGTATACACACATGGAAAGGCAAACTTACTCATTTTCCACATGATTTGACTCTAGATACATTAGTGACCTTGATTATTCCATGTGTAGGATTTTATCTAAGGTGGTAGTCTCAGATGTATTGTATGTCATATTTACCTTGGTGGCTTGATTTGTTTTCAAATTCAATTTTTATTTGCTTTTTTTTTTTTAAGAGAGAGTGAGGGGGAGACTGTTGAATAGTGGGCCAAGAGTATTTTTTTTTTTGAGAAAAGAGATTAAAGAAAAACTCAACAAGATATTTTACTCAACCAAGAAGGGGTTCTTCCAATGTGTCATATTTAAATGATAACAGAGATTTAATAGAAGACTTCTTTTAATAACACCTTGAATTAGTTTCAAGTGTGCCATTTTGCATTCAAACATAGAAAGACACGGAACCAATCCTTTATTTTCTATTAGAAAACAGTCACTGTCCCCTATCTCTCATTATGGTGCAGACTACAAGACCTAACAACAAAAATCCATATTATTGATCCAGCCAAGTCTCCACAATTATTCTTTAGAAGGAAACGCCGACGATAAATTACATCTGCACTGGCTTTTCATCTGCTGTTCGATATAAGTGATCTCTCAGGGCAGGCTGGAGACCTTAAATCGTCAACACCCTTGTCAAGGAAGCTAAGGAGGCCTGGGCTTACCACAAACTGCTTCAGGAGAACTTTCATCCTATAATTTCTAACAATAATACAGGATTCGCAACAATCAGAAGAACATTTCTGAATGCTGATTAAAATTTATTATTTTTTCCTACAGGGAATATTATCTGAGTAGTGCAAAGAGAAAGAGGGCCACAAAAATACTAAGTAGCTGATAATAGGAAATGTGAGGTGAATACCCACACAGAAGATCACCATGAAGTGTTGGGCCCACTGTACTAAGACTATGAATGCATGTTATAAACAAAGCACCTAGTGTAGGGTATGATGGGATATGGATTGATGAAGGCCCCAAATGAGCAGCCTCAGGAACACACTCCACAGACAGAATCTAAAGATGGGTGATACATTACACATGGTTAATTTTAATGTGTTAATACAAACTTTATGTGAATGTGAGCTTTTTAGAAGCAGTTTTCTGAAGATATCTAGTAATTCAATGGAGATTAGCCTCTGCATTTTAACAACTCTAGGGTCTGACATGATTCTTTCTTAAAGAGAGAAATTATACTGGTTAGGTGTAGGAAATAGTACATAAAACCAAGAACCAGTATGTTTAAAAATTAGGCATTTAGATTACAAGGAAATAGAAGACCAGTTCTCTTTAAAAACATAAAATGCAACGTAACAAGGATCACATCTAAAAAGCTAAGATTCAACACAAACACTAGAAATGAGCTGTCAAATCTGAACCTGTCCTGCTTAAAAACATGCGCAACTCATACTAAATTGTCACATTAAAGAAGCCCTGACCAACACTGCAAAGCAAAGAATGAAAAACATTTTCATATGCAATGACCATTACCTTAATTTCAAATACATTGACCATGACCTCTGTAAGGAAGTCATGTTTACCATGGTTGCTATCTAGAAAACCAATGAACATGTTCCTGCAGCCCGTCAGGCCTCCCTTGGCCAGTCCCTGATGTAGAAGGGGCATGACACACCTGTGTGCGTCCTGTAGTGGTCTTTCATCGCTGAGGCCGTGAGGAATGAGTAGTGACATGTGGGCCAGGTGCACTTAAAAGGCTTTTCTCCCGTGTGGAGTTTCATGTGGTTGTTCAAGGCCCACTTCTCTGTGAAACTTCTATCACATAAGTGGCATGTAAATTTCCTGCATGAAGGAGAAAAAACAACAACAACAACGTAAATTTGACCTGTACACTGACATCTATGACTCTAGATAGAGTGTGTGGTAACCCTGAAGTTTGGTGCACACACAGCCTCTGCAGAGGGAACTGCAGGCTGGGTCTGTCATGTCTGTATAACCAGGCATTGATTTTTCTGTCTAGGCCTGGCACTTCAGCCATTTATTCTCTGCTTTGCGGTTGGGCCCAACGGGTTTGAAAAATTCTGTTACAGTCCAGTCACCCCTGAGGCAAAAGTGAGAATAGATTTCACCTGTACAGGCCTACACCACTTATCCAGGGCATGGGCTGTCAGAGCAAAGGCTAAATGAAATGCTATCCATACTCAAGCGCTCAGACAAGCTCTGCTGTCTGCCAGGAGGCGGCTGTGCTGTGAGAACAGGCAACCCTGAGAGCAGCCCCACAGCCCTGAGCTACCAAGCCCCTTGGGGATGAAAGGGACCCCCAGTGGTTCCTGGTTGAAAAGTCCCTCTGGGTTGTTGACATGGGTCCATCAAAAAGTTTCCTTTGACAAAAATAAGTCTCTAGCCATCCAACCCCAAACACACTCCATCTCCACTGATTTTAGAAGTGAAGTGGGCCAGATCTGCATAGAGCTGTGACAGACAAAAATCAAACATTATAACCATATGCTTTTCTAAAATGAGACTGAGCAAGAGAAGATCCAATTATCTCCGGTACAAAAGCAAATCTAAAAAATAGCAAGTCAATATATCTTTAAGAAAACATTTCAAATTTCAGTTTCAGTCTTCCAGTACTCTAGAAGTGTGGACTGAGGGGCGTGAGCACACTTCCTCCTCTGCACGCTTCCACTTTAGAGTTCCTCACTAAAATTTCCCTCCTGTTTCTGGTGCAACTGAGTGTTAAGCAATCACTGTCAACAACAGTGTCAACAAATTAATTCAGAATAATCAACAATCAAGTAAGAGAACAACTTTCTTAAAAGTTACAATTAAAATGTAGAAAGCTGGCAAGTATTATACCAGAAAACAGGGACCAAGGCAGCCTGGAGAAAAACCTAAGACTAGAATAAGTTCTACATTATCAACATGGGGCTATAGAAAATGCAGACTTTCACATAAAGTCATTAACCAGGATCTTCATCAATTCCTAAAGTTTTGTCAGGAGAGGAAAAGAGTCCTTTGCTATAAACAACCAACCTTCTAATTTGGTGTTAAATGTAGATTACTTTAACAAATCAATGGAGTTCCACAAACTCTGGGAATCCAGGTATAAATCACCAGCTTCCTTTAGTACATATATTTACAAAGTAATGTTTTAAATGTAAAATTAGTAAAAAAAAAATACCAAACACTTAAAATTGCATAGCATATCTGAAGTGCTTCATTAACAGCAAACTGCCAGTCTAATTCTCCTATAACACATGTGAGGAGACACTGTCTGCACTATGAACACAGCCTGACTCTGAATTCACTGTATCATTTGATCATTGCTGACTCGTACTGGAGAATGACATATATAACTAAACACCTTGAAATGCACTGCAAAAAATATCATGTCCGTATATCTCTTTGACGGGTCTTCATGCATTTAGCATTTCAAAACCATGACAGGGATCTTATTTCCAAGATAAATTCCCCTATCTACTTATTTCTCCATGTATTTATTGTGGAACTAACCTTCTCTTACAAGAAATAAATAAGGAGGTTAAATAGATGCTATCTTTAACAAATAGTTTTCCAGACTGTATTACAACTTTATGAATGACAAAATAAATCCCTCAGTTTTAAATCTACCATGATGTGCAAATAACAAAATTACATCTACACAACCTCAATGTGCACTGTCTATTATTCAAACATAATAAAAATGTTAGACTAAAGCTCAGTGCCTGTCCAGAAAGGACAAAAGCCAGATTTTTTTTTAACAAAAAAGGAACTGAAACTAGCACTGGACTTCCTGGAAACAAGCAAGCTCATCCACTGGGCAAGTGAGAGAATGTAAACATGGCCAGCACAGGCCACACTTAATGCAATTAGAAAGCCGAGACCTTTTTGGAAGTGTCTCCTGAAATGACATGAATTCTGTGTCAAATTTTCCAGGATTGCTTGTTTTAAGCAGACTAATGTTAGAGGATCTTCAGGAGACCTAATGAAGCATATCCGGGAAGCAGAAAGTGCTCTGCAGCGCAAACCAGAAACTGAACATTCCTCTTAGAAAGACCTGCCATCTTGCTACTCTATGAACACTGCTCTCTCTGGAGGCTACAGGGAAATCAGAAAAAGATGATCTGGGTGTCGAGAAAATCTGCTGGTAAGGAAGACTGAGGCACAGATGCTTGGCTAGACGGGCTTACAGGAGAGATATTTTGTAATGTAATCTAAAAAGAAACTCTGCTTGCAAAACTCAGCTTTCTACTGACTGCTTAAAGGTGAGTAACTGGTCTTCACAAATGTGCTACAAGCTAGAGGGGCGCATCAATGAGCATGGGAAACAAAAGAATTGCATCTGCTTCACACTCTCACAGTGGAAAGACAATGCAGGAGTGACATGGAATTTTGAGGGAAGTCATTTCAAACATAGACTGGAAATGCATTTCCTTTAGCAATCCTTGTGAAGTCATACATCTTCGCTCTTAAGTTCTTAGGTGAGAAATCCATGATACTAAAACTACCTACAATGAAGCCCTTGCCCTAGTAGGCAACAGTGAACTGAAAGCCCACTAAAGGGTTAATCTGTACAAACTTATAAGGATTCCAAAATGGAAGAGCTGTTCCTAAACATTTTTCTAGTGTTCTGGCACAGCTAGAGGCCAGTCCACCACTCACCACTGTGTGTTGTTCCCTTAGGTGCCCTTCTGAAATGGAGGCAGGCTCTGGTCCTACCTGTTACACCAAGGAAGCACAGCAAAGAGAAGAGATTGACATGTACCCACAGAGCACTTCCAACGGGTTCTTCCTGTAGGATTTGTGTGAACTGAGCCAAAAGTAAAGTCTAGGCTTCAACACTTGACCTCAAGAGGGAATACTAACTAGCCTCATTATCAGCTATATAACAAAAACTAAAATTTGTCACTGGGATGAATCTTGCACAAAATTAAAGAATTAATAATGAGCTAAAAGGTGTTATATAACTAAGCTTTACTGTGTTTTGACCTTACCCAATTTTTCACCATTTTCTTGGTTTTATATGGCTAAACAGGAGACATAGTATATCAAGAACCAAACTTCAACTTTGCTTCTATAACTTTCCAAATACTAGAGTCAGAATTCTAAAAGGAAATTTTAGATTCATCTTCTTTAGATTAAAACTTTAAATGCTACTAAAAATTTAAGTTCTAAGCAAGTAGATTTTAGTTATTAGAATCTTAATAAAATGTACAAGCATCTCATTTTTCAATGAAGATGAAAGTGTCCTGAAAAGTTGGCTTCATTTCCTGGCAATATAAAAGCAGGTCAGAGGCAGCACACAACTTTAAACTCAGCACTTGGGAGACAGAGGAAGGTGGATCTCTAGTTTGAGGCCAGTATGAGCTACAGAATGAGTTCTAGGACAGTCAGGGATATACAGAGAAACCCTGTCTTGAAAATTCAAAAATTAAACAGATAAGAGAATCACTATAACTTTTTATGGTCTTCTGTATCTGTTCCATTCATGATAATCTTGTAATGCTTAAGCAGTACTGAATTTAATACTGAGTTTGTTCTAACCCTAATTTTGTACTGGAGAATCTAATTAGGCATATACCATTGAGACATACTTAAATAAATAAAGTTACATAAAATAAATTCTTCTATTGAAGTTTCAACAGACTTGTTGGGAAGGGTTACATTTAATCATAAAATATACAATCATTATGCTATGAAAATGAATAAGCTTTGGCTGTACTTATCAACATAGGTTTAAAAACCTATTAAAAACAAGTTAGAGGGACTGGAAGAATGGCTCAGTGACTAAGAGCATTTGTTTCTATTGCAGAGAACCTGGGTTCAGTTTCCAGGACCAACATGGTGGTTCACAAAAATCCATAACTGCAGCTCCAGGAAATCTGATGACTTTGTCTGACCTATGCAAGCACCTGGATCACACATGGTTCACAGATATGCATGTTGGCAAAACACTCATACATATAAATAAGTTATTTTTTTAAAAATGAAAACAAATAACTTTCAAAGTTGCACCATTTACATGAAATTTTACAAATGAACCTCACATGCAGGCATGTGTATGACACTCTCAATTGACACTGTTTCTTCCTGGCATGGAGAAAAGGAAGAGGACGGTGGTGGAGCGCAACTGCACATCTAACGTTTGTTGTTTACCACAGGAGAAGAATCTGAAGTAAACAGACTGCAGTTACCATCTTCCAAATGTCTTGTACTTTCAAAATCTTGTACTTTACATCCAACATTAATAAAACATTCAAACAATAATTCTTATTTCCTTTACATGATACCTTGGTGCAAAACAGTCAGGTTAACAAATAATACAAACACATTTACTAGACATACAAGAGAAAGGAAGACTTGGGTGAGACACATCTGACTTTAATGAGGAGTAAGCTAAATTCTTCCAGGGCAATAAAATGATATGTAGTCACTATCATTCAAAACTGTGTACTGAAGTGTTCACCCACACAAAAACATTATAAAGCTAAAAATACTAAAATTCAACTAACAAGCAACACTCTTCTTTATATACACAATACAGAACTACAGAGGAACAAAGGTCTGATTCCTAGAAAAATATCCTAATGACAAAATACGTATTTCCACAATTCCTAAGCTATTCAAATACTACGAAAGCACAGGCAGTTTCTTCGGAATAAAAGGCCCCCTTTTTAAAGACCATAATTTAATAATGACATAATGACACACTGAGAGATGAAATGATGAAGTCTTTGCCCAGTAGGGTAACCATGTAAATTTCTGCAGAGAGGGAGCAATCACTCCTTTCCTGAACAAAGCAGCTCATAAAAGCACAGAGGTCAATCAGAGAGTACCAACTGCAGCCTCAGTGTACTTCTCACACTGAGAATATGCCCCAGAGGACAGGAAAGCAAAGTCACTATCTAAAAAGACACTACAATTGTGAAACACTAATGCTTTTGGCCCAGACAACTGAGTAGGAAAAAAATGATGGGAGAGGAAGATGAGCAGGAAAAAAAGAAAGGAGAGGAGAAAGAGTAAGGAGAAGGAAGAGGGGCAGCAGTAATAAGACACAACTGCATTTAAACAGTAGACACTATTAATATGAAATTAAAAACATATAGAAAATAGTTTAATAGCTTTCAATGATAACCCTGGGTTGTCTTTCAGCTTTGACTTTCAATGTTCTACAAAAGCCTTGAATATAACTTTCAGCTTTGAATTACACAGAAAATAAAATTTATAACTTTGTGCCTAACTGAATAATTAAAAAGACACACTGATAGCTAATTTGCAATGACTTTACTGAGATCTAGGTCACTGTTGGCCATATCCCTTCAGATTTCTTAAGGGCCGTAGGTCCTGGTGAATGTAACAAATATGTGTTCAATATAATATAATTATCTAGATTACCAAATTAGGCTAGATTTTGAGTGTTTCTTAATGCAGTGCAAAAAAAAAAAAAAAAGGTGAGCATAATTTATATCAAGAAGCCACAAAAACCCAAGACCAGGAGGGTTTCCATGACTAAATCCAGGTCTCAAGCCTCCAGTGTGGCTTCCAGTTAGGGTTGGAAAACCTCCCATGAGGGCTTTTACACAGTTCACCGGGGAACTGACTACTTAAGCCAAGTGTTTTGAGCACAATTTTGCCATGAACAGGTGATAATTAGGCTAATTAACAGAGTAGATCCTTGTTAACTAGTTGGAAAAAATATTTAATCTCACCCATGCCAGTGCCTGTCATTTTAAACTTCTGGGCATATCATTCATGTTTTAAAAACTGAAATTTTTTTCTTCCTTTTCAATGCTATTTAAGGGCTCAAAATCATTTTAGTTAAAAATCCCTTGTGAGAGGAGTTTTAAGCATATTAACACCTCAGGCTCCTTCTGCCACTAACAACCTACAGGAAGGGGCCATTCTAGGCACCTTACTCAAAGATCTCCACCACTGTATGCAAAGTGATTTGAGTTCATCATTCAAAAAACTTAACTCCTGTGGAATTTTCTTTCAAAGAGACCACAAACTCTGATCTAACCAAAATCATGATAAAATAGCTGGGATTTCTCATTATACCAGCAGACCTAAGTACTCAGGTCACAAATTCAGTGAAGGGCCAGGTGCTTAGTGTTTTGCACTGTGAGGCCATGAACACCTTTGAGACACAACTCACTGTTGTCTTTACAGCACAAAGGCAGTAGTAGACACTACATAAACACAGTTGGCTGGGTTCCAACAAAGAAGGCTGGACATGGCCTGGCTTGCAAGTGGTGCTTGGCATACCAGGGTTAGACGGGAGGCTACATCCTCTCAACTTCATCTCTAAAATGTTCACTTGGGGTCTCTACAAGGTCAAACAGCACCAAATCAGCGGTGCTGGAACAGAAAGAGCCAAGCCTCACCCTTCTTGGGATCACAGGAGCACATGGGGACAGGTGGCAAGGACAGTGTATGGGAAAACTACCACAAAGTGCTCCAGGAGTTTTTTGCATCATAGGCACAGGAGCTGAGAACAAGAAGGTATGCAGTCGAGTGGCACTATTCTCTAGTTTGGACACAACGAAGCTTTTTGGCCTGTTAGGCTGGATTCATAAAAAAGTTTAAACCATAGTTACTAATACTGAATCAAAGAAAATAAATTCTTCAATTATATTTTATTCTAATGGTATACATAATCTGAGTTAAAATGATAAAATTCATTCTGATCCGTATTTATACATTCATTCCAAGTGCCTAGGTGATCTATTTTTAATGACTGGCCACTGGGACCATTCATAAATATCTTCAATTTCAATCCACCAAAAAACCAACAGAAGAGTAAAACATATTAGGACCTACTATATGTCTAGAAATAACCAACGCTATGTATAAATCTAGAAATAAAAGAAAAGCACGCACATTCACCAAAGGAGCCTATAACTTAGTGATCATGACCAATGTCTAGAAAACAAACCAATATACTGTGTGCGACTTTGTGAGAAAGTTTTAAAAGATGTCCAGAAAAGGTACCAAAGAATAAAAGAGTTTTTCCGGGTTAATGTGGTTTTGAGCTAAGTTTGAAACAGCAGAATCCAGTGCTCTAATAAAAACAGTAACGATGACAATCTGACAAGAAGCAGGGGGGTGACATGCTCGCTCGTGAGCCAGCCAGCTGAATGGGAGGAGGTAGAGTCCTTGCTACCCAGGGCAGTAAACCCTGTAGCTTATAAGTCAGATTTGAATATCGTTATGACCACTGAAGGAGTCTGAATTTGTCTTTGATATGAACCGCATCAATTATCAATCATTTCCTTCCTTTATTTTGTGCATTTTTCAGCATTTTTAAACTGTGATTATGATTTTCCAAGGAACTAAATGTAGCTTCATCCTTTATAGATCTCAATCATCAAACAGAATATATATGGATGCAGTGCACATAGGAGAGTATCTGGAAGAAAACCTACCAAAGAATACCCTCTCTGAGAGTTAGGCTGGACTAGTTTATCCATTTGGAAGCATAATGAGCAAAATTTTCTACATAACACAAACTGACAACCATTAGGTATATCCCATTATATATTGTCCAATATGTTGAATGCTGAGAACTGGGTCATTTGTTAAGAGAATATCGTACTGTTACACACATAAAGTTTAGGATTGCACTGCCTCAGCTCAGAGGCTACTAGGATTAAAGCAGGAGCAACCAACCCCAGCTTGATGTCACTGTTTTTTTCTTCAAATTTTTAAAATTTTGTCCCTCAATTTGGATTTTATTTTATTTTTTGACTAATTTTTTATTTAAGTTAGGAACAAGCTTGCTTGACATGTTAATCCAGCTCCCTCCCCTCATCCCCCACCCCCAACCAACCTCCCCAACCCCCCACCTCATGCCCACTACATTTACTATTACTAGGTTTCTGTCTGAATTCACTAGGCATGCAACATCAAAATGAAACATGCTACATGGGTTAACAAACATTTTATTAACACAGCAAGCAATCACATTCGATAAAACAGATTTTACCAGTTTGATGAAGAACAGATACAGGAGAAAAGCATGCTTTCAAATACTCAACTACAAAATTAAATCTGGGAACGTTATTTTCTTTCAAAATTTAGTATTTTTAATCTGATTCAGCACATTACTAAATGCTGTCAACAAAACTGTCCCTGCTTAGATATTCTGTAAAGCTTGCAGTAAGGACCTAACCTTACACTGTTACAACTGTAAATAAAGACAATGTTTGTCATACTCGTTAGGTCTACAAATGGTGCCAGCTGAAATTTGCTAATGAAAAACACAATCATATCTTTTAAGTAACACAATTGGGGTCCTTGAAAGTGAAAGGTTCAGAGATACCAGGGGTGTGGTAACTGTGGTGCTGGAAAGAAGTTCATGAACAGTTTGGTTAAGACTCCTGTGGCAGGTTCTTGGTGCCTCAGGGGCACCATGTGACTCTGTTTGAATTCAAGTCATAATTATATGGTGTAGGTGGAGGACAGATCATCCAGCTAACAATCTAGATCCCTTGTGTCCTATAAATAGCAAATCACAAGAGGTGCCAATTCTACAATCTAAGAAAGCCAGTTTTGCCAATAACCATCGCCAGACTCAACTCACCAAAGATGAACTACTGGGTACTTAGAAAGCAGTATTGGATTTCCGAACAAGCCACAGGCAGCAGAGATGATCATGAATGGTTTGGGTTATATTCACAGCATATAAAATTGAAACTTTTTATTGTAATAGCCTTCTAGAGTCATTAACTATTTACATCAGTATATCTAATTTTCTAATCTGTATACATGAGTTAAGAGACAACAGTCTCCGGTATTTATTAAATTGTGACTTCCTGCAACAATCAGTATACTACAGTAGCAAAGCTTTCAAGCACTAAAATAACACTTCAATCAACGAAATATGCTCGCACAGGAACCCCTCTCCTCAAAAGTACTCCTGTAACACTGGAACATGCTCCTAGGCCTGTGCGTCCTAGACACCATCACAGATTGTATAAGTGCAATCTATGTAAACCAATAGGTCATCAGCGTCGTCATCATCATCATCGCTAGTTTTTGTAAGACATGATTTCTCTGTGTACCCCTGGAGGTCCTGGAAGTCACTCTATAGACCAGGCTCAGACCTGCCTCTCCCTCCCAAGTGCTGGGATTAAACCCACCATCCAGCTGGATAGGATTTTTTTTGTAAATCTGAATACACTGGCCAAATTTAGAAAAGTCTTGTAGGGTGACCATGAGACTTGCTAAAGGTAGGAAAAGCATCTTTCCCTGTCTTGAGTGTTTCA